ATCCCGAAGACAGCGACAATAACACAGTAGCGACCTCAGGACCACTACCCAACGACCCTTCCCTCCTGAAACTCTCCCTCTCCCGCCTCCTCCGCACCCAACCACAATTCGCAAACTGCCTCCCTCTAAAGTCCATTCGCAATCACTTGGGGAAAAATGTTGATATTCTCGCCATCGTTTCCTCCCCCCCGACCAACCCCACCAGAGCCAAAGGTGGACCGAGAGAGTACATGATGAGTTTCAACGTCACCGACCCTTCCACTGCCCCTACGCACGTGGTGGAGGTGCAGATGTACAGAGCCCATAAGGAGTCTTTGCCAATCGTCAAGCCTGGTGATGCGATTTTGTTGAAGCAGGTGGAGATCAGGTCGATGACGGCGGGTAAGGGGTTTGGGTTGAGGACAGGGGAGGGGAGTGCTTGGGCTGTTTTTGAGGCTATACCGGAGGAGGATAAGGAGGAGGAAGGAGAAAAGGATGGGGATGATGCTACTGCTGCTACAACTCCTAGACCACCGCAGATTAAGGGACCGGCAGTAGAGGATTGGGAGGATTTTGGTGGTTACATGGTTATGCTTAAGAAGTGGTACAGGCTGCTTTTGAAGGATGAGACGGCGAAGGGGAAGTTGGAGAAGGCAGTCAAGAAGTTTGAGAAATGAGAGTTGAGGTACGGGGTTTGGAGCCGGGGAAGGTGGCTTGTCAATCGACCTGGGCTTCGAGTCCCATGTGATAATTGAAAATAATTGCATTATGATGGGAAACATTATGGCTCAACTTGGCTGGTATCTAAGCACTTATGGTGGAAATGAGGGCAATATGTTTTATATCGCTCGGCATGTCGCATGCTTCTAGGTATTGCGCTGAGCTTAGCTAAATCACAACGTCAATTATCTACGGCCTACGAGGCGTTGGCATAATATCTTGTCTGCCTGTTTACGAAATGCTGTACATACCAAGAAACGGGACCGTATCTTTTGATACCGGCAGTACTCTAAGAAAGATCGCAGCTTCGTCACCAGTAAATGACCTTTCTTGAAAAGAACATCAACACTGATTCATGTTACTCTGCATCCCTCTTTCAAGAAAGACACTTGAGGGTAGTGATGCGGTGGTGGGACCGTTCCTTAATTGCCCCGACTCCAACCCTCAAGTACCCACGAAAGGTGTTGTACTGGTATGACCTGATGGAGAAAAGAACCGACACCACGAATTTCGGGAAAGTTAGTTTCGAGCATCGTCGAACATCCAGGGTCAACAGTGTCGCCCTCGCCTCATTGACGCGTAGCCGCATGTGTCACCGTTATTGACGCAGATCATGTCTGTAGAACGCCATGTCTCATCTACGGTCCTTGTAGGGACAGCAGCAGTGTGTTTGCAAAGGCTTCTGTTGGGGGTCCCTCGGGACTCGATATCGAATGGGTGACGGCTGGCGGGTGGCCAGTCATCAGGTTGGTCTTGTAGGCTGACATGCTCCATTGAGAGTGCCGTGTTTCGACTTCCTCGCGCTGGCGGAAGGATGTCGAGTGAGGCGGTTGGAGGGGGTCGAAGCTGTTTTCTCGAGGAATCTGCTGCGGAGATGGATCGATGTGTCAGTTCAACGGGCGTCTGCAAAAAGCGTGTTGCGCAACACCAACCCCGGCCCTCTCTCGTTACACCAACTGAGCGCCTTCCCATGGAGTTGTCCGTAGTCAAAAGTTACCTTTGAAACATGTGACAACGAAGAAGAACACCGCTGAGGACTTTCTGCAGAGGACCGAGGTACGCATCTAGTTAGCAAGTCTTCCATCGCAAGTACACACTCTTACCAAAGTCACAACCGGCTCTGGTGCCTCGGATTCGAAGCTCTTCTATGACAGGAACGGGTTGCGAAAGAAGTCCCGGCAGATGAGACTGCGCAACGTGACACCCGTTGACTCGAGTTGACTGCCCTTTCTTGCACAGAGTTCGACTGTTGAAACATCCCGGCGTCAAGGGCAGTCACTGTCCGTTGGTCTACCCGTTCATTGGAATTTCTCTTGGCGGTCTCGGTGAGAATGGCTCGATGGGTTATCGGTTGAACATGGGACTGATGCGAGTCGCTCCTGTTACCCGACGAACTCGGTCTTCCTCCCAACATCCTGAACCTGCTTCACCCACGAAACCGAGATGATGCCACTGCACGATCTGACCACCCTCCCAAATTCTGTTGAGTCTTGACTCTCAACAAGTGCCCGGGGGGATGTTGCCTTTCACCCCACGTCAAGGAACTGCCAACAAGCAGAACGCAATGTGCTCCTTCCATCTCATAGATCGTGATACTCGATTTTGCAAACGGGTAAGAACCTTGACGGCACCTGTCAGCTGATGAAGAAAAGGCAAGTTTCAACCGGGCACAATCATCCGCTAAACTCAAGAAAGCGAACGGTTCCTGCCACTCGTATCTGTTGATGGATATTGATACATCGATAGTTTTGCACCTCGAGGTCTGCATGGATATAAAGGGTTAGCTTGGTACGATGAGCCTACATAAAATATGGAGTAGACAGACGACAGGAGAGCCATTTCCTGTGCCAAAACCAAGCATCTTTGCCACTCGCAGGAACCGAGCTAACATTTACACTACACAATGCAGAGGCGCCCAAGCTGCAAGTCATCGCCGATTCGTTTCATCTCGGGCCAGGCTCGGCAGGCACAAAGCACGAACTGGGAAGAGGAGACGACGCTGAATGGGCGGGCCTCGAATCGTCGGTAGTTCCTCTTGCCAATTGGATTCGCTGCCCGTGTTTGGCGAGCTTGGTCTCTCGTGCAGAGCAACCCCTCATTTGGGGACCTCAGCGAGCAATCTGTTGCACGTTGGGAAAGGCAGGAGCGCAATCTTCCTATCAGCTGCTCACACTCGTCAGTGCATCAATCGAAGAGGCCGAGTTTGCCATGGAGAAACAGGATGGGAATCTGGGCAATCCGAGAAATCTCGCCACTGGTTCCAACAGATCATTCAACCGAGGCAGGCGGATCTACCAAGGCGAGGCGCCTCTCGTACGTTCGTTTACAAAATTGAACCAAGATGACCGTGTTCTCGGTTTGATACTATGGAGCCCACGGCTGTCAAGTCCTGTGTGAATGCAAGTCGACCGCAGCGACTCCTCCCCCACAAGTTTCCACGCACTTGTAGTGTACCTAGCATTGTGGGGCATAATGACGTAGCTGCACATCAATAGTGCAGGCTCAGCTAATGGGAATCGTTCTTTGACGGGCCAGGCCCTGCCATGCGTCACTGGCTGGGATAATGACCCAAGATGCCTCTTTCCATTTCCGGAAGTTTGTGTACTTTCGCCATTTCACGAGATGTGATTCTCAGGCAACGACGCGGAAGGAGAGAGCCAAAGTCGGGCGCGTCTTGTTCAAGTTGTAGAAGGGACAGTCCATCTGCCTGAATCACGAGAGAATCACCTACTTTGAATGGATGCAGCTACCAGAAGTCACTCAGTTCGTTCAAAGCCAAATCACTGGGCACTTCCATTGGGACAGGCATTGATCGGACGAGACCGACTTCTAGCTGCTTTCAACAGCCACATTATATCCATGTCACGGCTACGCGCGGCCTTCGGTAACAGAAAAGCACACAGACAGCGCTTGTGACATGGATTCGGGCAAAGCATTGGTGGCCGCACCGGGCAGGTCATCCTGAGTGTGCAGTGGCTGCTGTTCAGATTTCATCTAACTGCGGGAGAGGGGTTCAAAGGGGCGTGACGTCACAGACAACGGGTGAAGGACGAAGATTGCCTCACTTCTTTGCTAGCAATTTGCCTGCAAAGAAGGCGCACATGTCAAGCAAACAACTGGGAAACCACTATTGAATACCCACAATGCAAAGCTCGGAAGGTACGTCTTGATTGCAGTGTGTCGAGTGTCAAAAAAGAAGCAAGAGTTCATGCAAGCCAAAATTGGCACCTCCTCCACTTCACCGAGTGCCCCACCCGAAGCTCCAGGCGAGATGGCCGGAACATACCATCCGCGTTGGGATTATGACGTATCTCCTTCTTCTTCACATGATTCCATCCCGTTGTTGCTTGTTTGCGAGCTGTGACGGGAGATCGTAGATGCCACTTTGGGCCAGGCAGGCAGTGCAGGCAGCCAGGAACACAAGCTTCCAACTTGGTCATCTCGATTGCCGATTAAGGGAACCAAATGCCTATATAAGACTGTCCTCCCACCTCCCCAATACCATTCTTTTCTTCTTCCATCATCAGCCAACAAAGCAATCACATCTTCACTACTTCAAGTCAACACAACACTCAAACCACTTTCACAACCCCTCACATCAACCAAAATGGATACCATCAAGAACGCTGCCAACTACGTCGGTGACAAGGTCCAGGGTAGGTTCCCTCCAGCACCCGAGCACATCTTGGGCATCTTCACATCAGCAGACACTGACATCTCATTCTCACAGGCGCTACCGCCACTGCTTCCAAGGAGGCCAACAAGGACGTTGCCAAGGACTCCAACCAGGGCGTCGGCACTCGGTAAGCTCCATCATCTTCCACTCACAGCCATCATCAGACACTAACATTCATCTTCCTCTCAGTCTCAACGCTGCCGGTGATGCCATCTCCGACAAGGTCTCCGAGAACAAGCACGACGCTAAGGCCGAGGCCCACAAGCAGGGTGCTACCCACTAAGCGACTTCACCAACAGTCGTTTTCCATTTCCTTTTTATCAGTCATGACTTGATGATAATGGCCGGCTAAGGAGTTCGCCAAGGGCTTCTCTATGACATACTTGGCTTGGAATTTCGAAGGGCAGCTTTAGCATTACACCAGAACCGATACCCCTATTACATAGGCATGGACACTGGTCCGTTCTAGCTAGGAATTGACCCGGCTCTCTGCCAATTAATACCTGCACATCTGTTTTTTTTTTTTTTTTTCTCTTCTTGCTTTTGTGACATCGACATGCCTTTCTGACATTGCTGTGTGCTTTGCAACTTTGATCTTTCATAATGCTACTTTGGCATTTGGGGGGATTATAAATGAGCCATCGCATTCAAGACTTGACTTGATGTAATATCAGTGACACGAAAAGTTCGGCAAACATCAACAGCCCAGATGTCTTCTTGCATGAGAGAGTGTTGATCCAAACCTTCAGTCAGCTGAACGACACTAGCAGGGGCTGCGCACGGACCACAATGATCAACCATCGCGATGGACTTCGCGTCCTTCAAGATTTCGGAGCCACTTCGTTGAAGCTCAGCATCTTTGTGTCAACTCGTCAAGAAACACAACTGCAATCACAAAATGGCGTCCACCACCGCACCACCATCATTGGAATCCTTCCTGAGCACACTTCCCCCGGATCTTTTTGACCAAACCACGCTCATCTCTCTCGCTTCCACCGTCGCCATCCTCCTGGCAGCCTATTCTCTCTCCCGCGTGGCCCTCGACCCCAAGACTACCACGTCCCGCCACCGGTTCCTCTTCATATGGCATGCCTTCGATGCACTGATTCACTTTTGCCTCGAGGGCAGTTTCCTCTACCACTGCTTCTTCTCGTCGGCACCTCTCGGCCATCTGGACCCCAAGGAGGTGTTTATTGATCCCTACAACTATCTCGGAAGAATTGACAAGGTACATGGTGCGCAGGCTGTTGCTGGGAGGTTTGTTGACGGGGTTGTGGGTGGTCCGGCGAAAGCTGGAGATGTGGGCGGCGGATTGCTGGAAAAGGTGGTGAGGGGCACGGCAGAGTTGTGGATGGTTTATGCCAAGGCTGATAGAAGGTGGGCTGGGGTTGATTTGGTACGTTTCTATTTTCCTTCTTTCCTTCCATAGCTATTCCATGGGTGACGGAACTTGGGGGCCGATGGGATGATGTTCCGATACCGGCAAGAAGGAGGAGATATTGCGAAGGGTTATATGAGGAATGCGAGTGAAAGAAGGTGCCTGTGGTGGTGACAGCTACGGGCTGGACACAAATGATGAACATCTGGACAACTAGAAATTGGGGAAGAGTGAGGCTGCTTTGCTAACAAAATTTTGTCTTGCAGAGCGTCGTCAGTCTCGAGCTCCTCACTGTCCTTGTCGTTGGGCCCTTGGCTTGCTGGGTCTGCTACGATATCGCCAAGAAGAACTCGAGGGTAAACATCGTTATGATCATGATTGCTACTGCTGAAATTTATGGCGGTACGTATCACTTTCTTCCATTTCTCTTCTGTCTTTTTTTAACCCTTGTCTTTGGTTATCGCTGTGTGCCCGAAGCTAACGTTTGGTGGATTGAAAAGGCTGGATGACCTTCTGCCCCGAGTGGCTCGTGGGCAGCGTCAACCTCGACACCAGCAACTGGATGTACCTGTGGCTTTACTTGGCCTTCTTCAATGGTTTATGGGTTGTCATCCCTGCGTATGTCATTTACGTGGCGTCTGGGGAGATTATGGGTGCCTTCAAGGTCCGGGATGCTGCGGCGAAGGCTAAGAAGTCTTTGTGATGAGTCTCGAAGCGCACTTATCCAAAGCTTCATCAGGAGGGGTAGGTAAGAAGCGGTTTCGACACCTGCCCAGTACGGGTGTTCATCGCAATCAGCGGATTCAGCACGGCGTTGCAGGTATGGCTGTCTCGTTGCACTGCATGCCCGTACGACTGTATCCATCCTCTTCGTTGCGTCATGAACGGCGGAGAGGAATGAACAGGCCGATGGGGATTGGTCGGAGGGCCTCAGTGGCAAGGTGGAAAAGATATGTTCCTGTTCGCCGGTTTGCTTCCTATCATTCACATGTGTGATCTTCTTCCCCGAGTTTGGTTGATCTTTCACATGGTTACCAGGAGACACAGCAAGCTCGTCGACATCTGCTGCCATCTAGATATCCCAGTGAGGATGATACGAATCAAACAGTTGAAAAGCGAACTCATAGTGACCTTGGGAGGTGAAATCGCAGTCAGTATACGAGCCGTCGCAGTCATGATAGAGCCAAGTCTTGAGAGAGAATTTCCCACGATGTTGGATTCCTCTTGTCGTGTGGGGGTTCATCTGGTTTGATCTCCGCAGGGACGGACCCCTTTTTGAAGTGAGGTACGTTCTGGGCCCCCTAGGGTTGTGTTAGTGCCCCTGGACGTCCCTGGTTTTGGTACCTAGAAAGATTCCACATTTAGGCCTTAGACGCACAGACCTCAAGCTTGGCGATAGGTAGGGGACGTTGGAGTCAGTCGAGGGGCTCTTCTGTTCCAAAACTGCCTCAAGTTTGAACTTCACCCTTGTAACGAAAACGGCATCTACCATGCTCCCACACGCCCAACTCGCCTCCTCGGACCCAGATGACTTGTCGCTGACCTGGAGTTCTCGTTGCATTTGGCCACGATCTCACACCGGATCTGAGCCTTTCCGTCGTCGTCCCGGGAACCCCAGACAATAGCCTTGCTGGCTCGGCGGTGATGCTTGTCCACGGGTGTCATCGGACTCGGCATGAGCGCTTTCGAGCCCTCGATTTGCTGGTCAAATTGTTTGTCATCTGTTGGGCCGTGTTCCAGATGATCACTAGAGATACGGGCAAGCTTATGTGCTCGTAGTATACCTACCTACCCAGCTTGAGCTGGACGTTGGAAGACTTTACCGGAACACATGGTTGGCCTGCAAGTGCAAGCTTTTGAGGAGTCTCAACGGCTTCAGATGTGTGGGCCCAATGTCTCCGGTGGCCGAGAAACAAAACATTCTGCTCACTATTCTCAAATCCAGTCCATGACGGTCGCCTGTGGAAGAACACGGCCTGGGCTGGTTCTGCCTTCGATGAACCCATGCTCCATGAACGGACTCTCTTCTGTCCGTCCGGGAATCCATTTCCAGCCCGGACTCACCCGTGCGGTTTCGATATGCCCTAGGCTACTCTATCAACGCTATGTGTTTCTGGAATGGCCCGGATGTCATTTTGGTATTCAAGAATTCCGGGTTTGTTTCGTCCCATCCACGGTCAACCTCCACGTGCGGTATCCCCCTGTCTATATTCAAAGCGTGCTCACAAGCCTTTGACTTACCATGGTATGCTTGAGCTACTCTTCCATCCCATGTTTTCTCCCCCATCCATCCCACCTTGGTCAAACCAACTACGAGTCAGCAAATCCACGAGTTGGCTTTGATGACCTGACGACGACCGGTCCGAGGCCACTGTTGCGGCTTACCGCCATCGCCAACCTTGTGATTGCCTTACAACCATCCCGATGTCGCCATTTAACGCTTTGGATGGAGGAGGCGGGTGGTTAGAGTCGCGGGTCGACACACGATGGACGTCGGAAAGTGATTCGAGCCGGGCAGGCTATGGCATGCTTCAGTCGGCGACGAACCCGGCGGATTCACAGACCTTCACCCAATTCCGGTTTGCCGCCGCCAAATCCATCAGAACATCCACCGTCATCTTGGCCTCTTTCAACACCATTGCAGCTTTTGCGACAGCTGTTGGAATTCTGGTCGATACCTACCATCGCGAGAAGAGGGAGAATAAGAGGTTTAGGTTCAGGTAAGGTTGGCATGGAGCAGTCCGTCACTTGTTATGTGCTTACGCATCCCTAGTCGGAATGGCTTCTCCTTTGTGCCCGCGACCGAAGCGTTTCCACTTATCCTATCAGTCGGTATTGTTGTCCAGGGCATCACATTCGCCGTTGCTCAGTCAACGGGACTCGGCTCGCTCTTCGGATCCGGATGCACCTTGATTGCTGTGTTCATGCTTCCTGGTAAGCTCAAATGGCGTCAAGAATATGTGATGAGGTCTAACCATCTCCAGCTGTTTTCATCGTTCCATACATCCAGTTAGTGTTCGGACTTGAAGTCACAATAAGGAGCCTGCTAAAGAAGCCATTTGCTCCGCGAGGGAGGTGGAACGTGACAATCTGCCTTTCCGTGGTTGTCCTGCTTCTGCTTTTGAACTTATTGCTGGCCATTTTCGACCGTTCGTCCAATTTTTGCCTTACTTCGCTGTTCTGGTTTGTTGCACACTATTCAGTCTGGTGCTTTGGTCTTTTAGTGGGCATTTCTGGTCTGCTCTTGGTTTGCGTCGTGGTCATCTTCGTGAGGTTGCACCGGAGCAACAAGATCGCTCTCGTCGAGAGAGCTGCGGCTTCAAGGATGGTTTATTATATGACACTAGCGATCATATCGGAGGTAAGTCTGTCTGCCATAACCATCCAGCTCTGCAGCTATACTCACACCTCCCTAGGCATTCATGATCCCATACTTTTACGTCATAGCTTTTGATGGCCAACGAAGGCACGCTCTCAACTTGTCTATGGTAACTACTGTCGTCGCCAATATCTCGGGATTGATGACGGGAGGCCTATACCTGTTCTTGAAATCAAACACTATATCCACGATCGGTCCGAAGAACAAGGATGCCGATTACGAGAATCGAAGGGAAGGGTACAATAAGACTGAACGCTACGAGTCCGGTGGACTGGACTTCGACAGTCACATCATGCGACCGGTGACGAGCCCCGGACAAGTTCGCCGCATGGGCAGCAACGCAAGTCTACTAAGGACGGCCAAAGACAAAGCAGAAAACAGCCCCACAACACCAACCTTTCTTTTCCGTGCACCAACGATACCACAGCACGCGCAGACACCCTCTGCCGCCAGCCACATGCGAAAAGAGTCCTACTCGCTCTTCCCGATCCGCCCACCGACCACAAGACCATCTGCCACCCCACTACCATCCATAACATATGCACCAGCTGCCTCCCAACTTGCGGACGCCGATACCCTCAAACCGCCACCATCAATGGGCTTCCTCGCCGCCCGTGGACACCGACGGAACTCTTCACTGTGTTCATCAGCAACAGTCCAAATCGGTCTGCGTCTCTCATCAGTTGAGGACGTGTCTCCACTCTTGAGCCCAGGTACCGACGTTCACACCATCAGTTGCCCAAAGCACAATCAGAAGGACACGATGAAACCAGAAAGGAAACAGCCTCCTCGACTGATAACGGACTTTGATACGCCTATCGACAGAGAATTCCCGTCGAGGGATTCGATGAACCCAAAGCCCGAGGAGGGCCACGAACAGCTCGAGACGCTCAGCCCGACTGTCTATGATCCGAAAAGTCCGGCGGAGGAGCCCGTGTTGCTCAGTTCGAAGGTCTATACGCCAACAGAACCGGCTGAGAGGAAGTTGGAGACTCTTAGTCCAAAGGTTTACTCGCCAACAGGCTCAGCTGAAGAAGTGGTGACGCTTAGTGCCAAGACGTATTCACCTACAACACCTACTAAGGCAAAACTACCTAGTCCTCGAAGCCCGGTAGCTGATGGCATGGAATTGTTGTCGAGTGCGAGGTATACCCCCGTGAAGAACCGACACGACATCACAATACAAGCTAAGAGAGACTGAGATCTGTGACGATTGAAATTCGACGTAACTGAGACGACTTGTGTCCAATATGCCTAATGGTCCGGCACAAAGACCTAAAGGCTTTACTTTCTTTGTTTTCGCATGGCGTTATAGGGTTTGTCATTTGGGCTATATACCTAGACTTCACTGTCTCTTCGCTTTCTGTTCTCTTCTTTTTGTTCATTTGTTTATATCCTTCTCCAGTTTGCTGGCACACCGAGGGAAGCTGTACCATATGTACCATTTATTTGAGTTAGAAACGTATCATGAATGATGAGAACGTATGGCAATGTTGTCATAGCTTGCATTATACTTATTGTTCAGTATTTACAATTGCGCAAGAGGTTGGCCCTCTGTTTCGTAATTTCGTGCGTGTCTCACTGGCCAAGAGCTTCTCGTGCTTTACCCCCTTGACGCGGTCTTGTGCTCTTGCTTCCCACTGACTCCCAGCAATCCTCTTCCCTCAAACATCAACCTTCGTCTTCCTTAGAGAAGACAGGCCTTGGTCCAAAATATCCCGTCGACCCGAAGTCACCGGCTTCCCTCACTCGGCTCGAGTGTTTGGCCCTTTGCTCGGTTTTTGAGCCTGCTTTTCAACACTCTGGGCGGTATGATCCCGTGACGAGACTGCAGGCATGCTGAAAGTACCACGGGATCCCCATCTAGTCTCTTGCCCTGCGGTCGTCTGAACAGTTCAAGATATGGAATGTGGCATTCCAATCCAGCCAGGCGTCCAGCCCAAGTCTCTAGCCCTGTGGCGCGAGAGCGATTTGCATGCAGACTGGGGTCATGCCGCAGCAGGTGGTGGTCGGCTTCAGTCCCTAGTTTCCAGTCGCCGCTGTCTTCTCGTTCTCGGATACCGCAGGATACGGGAAAGGCATCATCGAGCCTAGCCCAGCCCAGTCCAATCCAACCCAGCCCGGCCGTTTCCCGTACCTGTTCCCAAGCGGTCCAGAAAATCCTTCATCCATCTACCTTCCCACCCTTCTCACCTCCAAACCCCCGCTCTCCTCATGACCCCATCAAACTCCTCCCTCCTCACCCCCTTCCCCACTCCCGCGCCACCGTTCGCCTCCAGTATCATATCCCTCAACAACTCCTCACTGACATTCTCCTTCAACACAGCCGCGACCCTTTTAAGGTGGGCTAGGGTTATCACCGGCTCTTCTTTTTCTTTTCCGTCTACCTCTTCCTCCTCATATTGTCCGTAATCATCATCGTCGTCATTGTGATCGTCATGTAGCCGTGCAATCTCTTGTGCCGAGCGACCAACAAACAAAGCAAACGCCTCGTCCACCTCGCGCATATGCGCTTCGCTTGTGCGGTCCCGTGACGACAGCTTGATGGCGCAAATGGCGAGGAAGGAAGGATACGTGGCAAACCCTTCGTCTTCTGGATCGAGGATGGAAGTGAATTCGCGGAGTTCGGAATTAGATTTGGGGGGGATTCCTAGGGCGCTGTTGTTTTTGGGTGAGTTTGTTAGTCTAGTCCAATTCGGCCGGGGAGGAATTAGAGGAAAGAAAAATACAGAAGAGGACAGGGAAGAGTGAAAGTGTATACGTACATCATTGCCCGTCTGACATCTCCTATTGGAATCACTCCTTCCTTCTCGCCATCCATTGGCTCGGCGAAGAGACTGAATGCTTCTTTGATCTCGGCTTCTTCTTGGGCGGTGATGTTGTTCTCTTTGGCTAATTTCGATTGGCGCAGCCCGCCGACTTTGGATGAAGAGGCTGTCGTCGCTTTGCGCTTTGAAGGAGGCTGAGGTATTGCAAGTTGGGATGAGGTCAGCGTGCTTGCTATTACACTACGTAAGGGAGAAGAAAAAGTTGGCATATGTGCGGTGGTTTACCATTTTGTTTCGTATTTAATGTTTACTTCGCTCAATCAATTGTCGTATAAGGTGTAATGTAACCGGGCGACAGCACGCGACTCAATCACAATTGGAATTCGTACGATTTCTGCGACGGCGGCGGCGACGATGACGATGGTAACGATGATGCGCATATGCGGCGCGCGCAACGAGTTGCTGGACTTGTCTGATGAAGTGGAGCCATCCAGTTGCCGCTAACACACGCAGGGGTGGATGCCGTTTGCAGTGTCGAAGACGCCTGGTCACGTGTACGCGGGCACCACAGCACCGCTCAAAGAACGTGTCCCCACTTGGAATTCTCACTTCCACCTGAAAAAGGGCGTATCCACCGGAAATCGCCATGATAAAAGTCTGCCGAAAACTCATCGGATTTTTTGCTTTCTCCCCGAAACATCCGTTTCATCAAACAAAAAAGCGACAGCAACATCACCACATCCATTGTCACCGATTTTCTCCATGAACGGCTCGGATGCTGTTTCTTTGATGATACCATACTTTGTCCATCATAAAGCTGGACTGCTCCCTCTCGCTGTCTGTTGAAAGAAGGACAGAAGAGTACGCGGGCCAAGTCAAGTCGGCCCCCTCGGTTGCCTACTCTTGCCTTTCTTCACACAGCGAGAGTGAAAGAGAGCGATGAAGCTTTATGATAATACCCAATCCATCCATCCCATTTTCTTCTTAGTTTCTTCACATACCCCCATTTTACAACACAAAACCCTTGCCCAAAATACGCAGCTTCATCATTATGCTAGAGCTTGTCGCCTTCAAAATAACCCCACGGCGCGCAAGTGTGGACAATGAAGCAAGAATAAATGTACGGCTGGTTCATTCCTTCAAATGGCCACCCTCCGTCAAGTCATGAATCATCCTGTCTGCCCGTCACGGGTCCTGATGGTATGTGCTTGCGGATACATGTCCTATTGTCACAATTCAATGTTGTGCAATCTGTAGAATTCGTTGGCGTGCCCGGTGCTGTAGGACGAGCATGATTGCGCCTTGAATGACCTCTTGCCATTTTAGCCCATTTGACGGCTCCTGTGAAATTGTTACTTGATCATTTGCCTCGTGCAGATTCCATCTGGGGTCGATCATCACAGTCTTTACGGATGAAAGACGAAGAGGAGAGACAGTCTTGGATCTGCTGTCATTTATTATGATTTGCCTGACCCAACGCTCATTTAAAGTTGTTCTTCATCTCCCTCAACTTCGTAATGACAGCCACCGGGTCAGTCTCGCCCGTAGCCTTCTGGATCTCAGGGTCCTATCAAACGACAAGGTCAGTTGCAACCTTCCATCATGGCCGTTCGCCGTGGAAGAGTGTAACTCACATGAGGCCTCATAAACACATTGTGCTTCTTCTCGTCACCAATGGTGAACTTGCCCTGCGTTTCCCGGTGCTTCTCCGCAAAAGCTTGGAGAGCCTTGACGGCCTCGCTTTGCAATACCGACATGCAGAACTTGGCGTTGGACTTGGTGTATTCGTGACCGGGCTTCATTGGATATGTCAGATACTACTGTGTTATCCAAACATCGAGGTAGGGGACTCTGGACTTACGAAGACACGAGTCTCATCCGGCAAAGAAGCAAGCGTCTCGTTCAAAGCCTTGTGCATCTCCGCTCCATTTCCTTCGAAGAAGCGACCGCAGCCTACAATGGCCATGTCAGAGACCCAAGCCCAACCGACATCAACAATAGACCAGGGACAGAAAAAAAAAACATACCTCCGTGGAAAAGCGTATCACCAGTAAAGACGACCTTGTCGTCCCCATCCTGCATGAACCAGCAAATGCTATCCTGTGTGTGGCAAGGCGTATGCAGAGCCTTGACGGCGATATTGCCGATGTTGAAACCTTGGCCGTGGGCCGGAACCTTGTTCACCTTCTCGCAGTCCTTGCCGCCGATGATTTCGAGGTTGGGGAGGCCGAGAGCAGTGCGCTGTATACATGTGAGTGAACATTTGCTTTGAGGATAGTGAAGAGGGAAATGGAAGAGGGAGCTTACAAGCTTGGTGTTTCCGCCGGCGTGGTCCCAATGGCTGAAAGTAGTGTTAGCTATGTATTATGCTGAGATCGGCGAAGGAAGGCAACTCACTGGTGGGTGTTCACAATGGCTGTGAGCTTGATAGATCCATCATCGATGGCCTTCTTCAAGACGGGGGCGACCCTTTACGTCCGTCAAACCGGAACTTCCTGTCAGTATACCTGTCCACCCCGAAGGTTGAAAGACGCATATTTGGGTCTTGGAGCGCGCTGGTGTAGGACTCACTCCTCAGGATGCGCGGGATCGATGATGACGGCGTCCTTGGACTTGTCGTCGACAACGAGGTAGGCATAGTTGTCACTACTACCCGTCCCTGCTCATTTCATTAGCAGGACACGTTTTAAGGATTTCGAGCTTCAGGACAACAGGGACGTCCAACAAGAACCGATGAGCTTGATGAGGCTGGATGGAAGAGAACATACACATAGGAATCGACTTGATATGCATTTTGCGATGTGTGGCAGCGAACTGGAGTTTTGTTGAAGTCAGCACTCGAGGTTCATCGATCAAAAGGATTGGGAAAGTCTTTTTCACCTGTCTATAGACGTGTCGTGGAGCTAGAAATGTTCTGCCGATGAAGGCGTTCATAGATGCAAAGCTGTTTGTTTGATGGTCTGCACCCCGCAGTGAAGCTCCCAAAGCTCAGTGTTAGCTCACTCTTGCATTTGTCAATGTTGGAGACAACGGCTTACTAACGCACCGTTCCGTTCACCTCCACCTTTGCTGATAAACAATTGCAGTCTCAAATGTAGCTTTTGCGAAATGCTTAGATGCGGTTTAGGGAGAGTTGAAGTGCGTTAGTGCCTGTATGACGTTATCACTGGATAAGTTCGCTCGGCAGAATGCACGCGGGGACAGCATGCTATACTCCGCTTCTAGGAGGGAAACTGTCCATGTCAGACAATTAGTAGTACAAGTAATTCGCACCAGTACATGGACAGCTGTATGCGAACAGGTGAATATCACCCGAACATCGCGATTGAAGACGCCGACGGATGAAAACATCGTGATATCCCTCTAGCAACCATCATCAACTCCTAAACAACACCAATAGGCTTAGGCACCCACCCCTCATCATACAACCGCCACGCCGGTCCCTCATCGTCCTCATCATCCTCACCATCCTCATCTTTCTCATCCTGCTCATCACCTTCATCCAACATGATAACATCATCCCCACCCTCCTCCTCCTTCGTCTCATCCTCAACCTCCGGCAAATGCTTCCAATAATAATCCCAAATCCACTCCAGCCCCTTCTTCGCCGCGGTCCTCAACCTCGTCAAACTCGGCAACTGCTCATGCGTAGCCTGATGTCTGAGTTCGACAAAAGTCGCCGGTAATCCAACGCTCTTGGCGACGCCGTACATGGACATCTTGCGCTGTTTATCTTGGTGGGAGTCCAGGAGGCCTGTCACGAAGCTTTTCAATGTTGCTCTTCATTAGTATAATTATTGGTAGGTGAGGGAATAGCGAGGAGAACCCTTACCGACTAAAAGCAGCAGAATAAGCCGCCCTAACCGCATAGCTTGAACTCATGACCCCAATCCCGCTGCCACTGAACCCATCCACATCCATTTCCCTTTTAACCATGCCCCTGCCTAAAGTACCGTAAGAACTAGCAGTGCCCGAGCTGCCAGCGATGCCGGTTTGCTCTTCATCACTAAGAATCGCGGCCATGAGCAGGGCAGTTGACTCGACCATGTGTGGACAGTTGCCGCGCTGCATCCACATGGAGACGCGGGCGACGGCTAGGCGGCGTTCGTCTCCATGTCGGTTTTGTCGGTCATTGTTATCCTCCTTCTCTGTTTCGGAGGAAATGGCAGCGTCATCGGTTCTTGCCCGTTTTCGAGTGGTGCGCTGGGTATTTTGTGCTGCACGTCCTCGTTTGGCTCCTGCTCCTGCTCCTGCTCCTCCTCTTTGTGACAGTTGTTGGGGTTGTGATGCTGCCTGGCTTCCGTACTGGTGCGGGTAAAATTGCCGGCGAACGGCGAGGAGTTCGCGGCGGTCGCGCCAGGGTGTGAAGATATATTGAACCATTTCCTCTTTTGCTCCCTTGAAATTCGGTAGTGGTTGTTGTGATGGTACTTTGGCGTTGTCTCGATCACAGGATCCTGTCCGGGTTTTGGTTTGGTTCACTGAGTCTCAAGCTTTGCGGTCAGGATGAAATTTGAGTTGGCGGAATCGCGTGGCAGTAGAATTTTCTCATATGATATGAAATATGAAGCTCATCCATAAGCACCACAATGAAATTGGAAGCCGGTGCGAATCAGTTGTATGAACATTTCTCTCTCCTTATCATATCTTGATCGGTTGTTTTGGTTTCCGCGGTGGTGGTGGAAAAATGCTTGTTTTGTGTCGGACACGGACCTCCCAAACAATTTTTCAATTGCACCGTTTTCTTGGATCACGTTTTGAACTCTACAGCTCTGCGTACCCGAGGCCTCACGACCGCCATATTTCTCAAATCACTTCAAGAGACAACCATGATGGGTATCACAACCTTATCAGGCTTATTTGAACGGTTCCAGCGTCATTCGAACAAATAATTCGCATTGCGGGACGGAAATTCATAAGGGCTTCAACATGCGGTGTCGATTCGTACAACTACCTAAATCCATGCCTACATGCCCTCATAGCCCACTACGGTATGATGGCATGCCTCCCCATGAACTGGGGGGTTGGACATGCCACCTTCATGAGCCATCTGTACCTTTCCGGGCGAGTTCCCTCCCCTTTCCTCCTTTTTTCAACCCTGGATCTATTTGGTATCTTTGTATTTCGCTGAAGCACCGCCATTGCACAGCCTTCGATCTACTCCATGTCCGATCGGGGATAAACACCCCCTTTGCGTCCAGTTGCTTCGCTCATGGTATTTTAAACTCGGCGTCCTAGTCAAAGAGTACTCTTCTTCTCTTCATCATCTTCCAGTCCATCAAGAATTTCGCATTGAGCTTAGGAGATGGTCTTCTCGATCATGGTAATACCGTACTTCTCGTGGAGCTCCTTCATCAAGGGCTCGGTGATGTCGGTGCTCATAGGAGCCAGAACGCCCTTGCCAGAGATCTGGCCGCTCAGGACCTGCTTAACAGCGACGGCGCAAGGAACACCGACGGTCTTGGCCATGGCAGAGTAGCCCTTGGGGTCACCGTACTCGACGAGGGTCGAGGTGCGGGTCTCGCGGGAGCCATCGGCGTGCTCAATCTCGAACTTGTGCTGGAGCATGACCAAGTCGCGCTCGCCCTCCTCGAACTGCATCTTCTGCTCAAGAGTGGCGCAGAGGGTGTCGAGAGGGTTGCCGCGGGGGGTGATGGTCTCATCAGAGAAGAGACCGATCCAGCGGAGCCCGCTGAGGATACGCTTCTGGTCCTCGGCGGACTCGAAGGTGGCCTTGGAGAGGATGGCGGCCTCGAGGTCGGCCTGGCTGGAAGAAGCAGCACCGACGATCTCCTTGGTGGCCTCCTTCCAGGGGGTCTGCTTGCTCAGGCTCTCGCGCGCAGTGTCGTCAAGGAAACCGATGTCGACGAGAGTCTTGATGAACTGAGGGAAGCCCTGGTAACGGAGAGTGCCACGAATGACGGTCTGAGCCTCGGGAATGTTGTAGCGCTCCTTGTAAATGGTAGAGTCGCGGTTAGGGTAGGCGACGAAAGCGTAGCCGGGGTAGATGAAGTAGGGCTTGGCCATCTTCATGAGGTCCTTGCCCTCAACCTCGACGATCTTGCCATCCTGCCACCACTTGCCCGCGTTGCGGAGAGCGAGCAAGACACCGCGAGAAGACCAGGAGAACTTGTAACCGAGCGGGTTGTCGGAGTCCTCGGGGGCGGGGAGACCACCGCAGTAGGACAGGAAAGAGAGAATCTTGCCGCCGGCCTGGTGGACCTCATCGATGGTCTTAATGGCGTACAAGTGGTCGATACCGGGATCGAGCTGCCGAGCGACTTAGTATGATTGAAAGCTTCGAAACATTTGATATGTCATGGACTTACACCAATCTCGTTCATGACGGTAATGCCGGCGGCCTTGGCCTCAGCATCGAGCTCCATCATAGCGGGAGAGACGTAGCTAGTGGTAACGACGTGCTTCTTCTGGCGAATAGCCGACTTAATGACGGTGGCATGGAAGGTATAAGGGATCAAGCTGATGACAAGGTCATGCTTGGCGACCTCAGCATCGAGAGCCTCATCGTTGGTGACATCGAGGGAGATGGGGGTGGCGTTCTTGACACCCTCAGAGAGCTTCTGAGCAGAGGCAAGAGTACGGCAGGCTGTCGCACACAAGCGCAAATGTCAGCCTAAATGCCCGTAGTTTCGTTTCGGACAGTCGAACAAGAGGTGCATTGATATGATTGACTGTTGACGTACCGACGGTGACGGGAATGCCAGCTTCGCTGAGGACGTCGAGAGTAGGGCGGGTGACGAAGCCAGCGCCAAGCATGAGAACCTTGCTGAAAACATGAAACTTGAGGTCAGCATCCCCAGCTCTTGCGGTTGCCCGAGGTGAGGGCAGGATGGCGGGGGAGATGTATGTAAGGGGGGTAAGGGGGATGGCATTACTGTTGGGAAGCCATCTTTGCGACTTGTGATATCTGCAAGCTGAGGTGAATCAGACGCAGTGTTTTGGTGTTTGTCAGGTTAAATCCGGAGGAGAGAAAGAATCAGAATCAGATCCCCCACACTTGCATGCTCTCAAGCCGGCAATAGGTGACTTCGATTGTGTTATTGCCGTCCTTGTCCGCTAACAACCGATATCTAGACTTGACTCGCACTTCATCGCTCGCGGTTGGAGATGCAATTGGTGGAGCTCCGGCCGATAACGGCTTCTGGTCAGTCGCTTTCATCCATTTTTTTTTTTTTTTTCCTGACCTCAAACGAGGGGCACCCAAGGCGCATTGGTGTCGTTCCAATTGGCGCCAAGCACTCATTGGCGGGGTAGCGAAACCAACTTGCCTGCCGGACTTTACAGTACAGTCTCGCTAGTCGCCAGTCACTCTTGACAGCTGTCAACTGATGGGTAGTGCAAATTACTAGCAAACCGCAAACAGGGACTGGAACTCACTTCCCCCTGACGGCTGGCCGCTTATTCATCACTCTTTGCTTGATTCAGGGGCGTCCCAACAAGCTCACGATGAGAGGTAATATGAACACTCAGCAAGACATCACATTTACAGGCATGCACGGCGGCCAAGGAATGAGAGATGATGGGTGGTATGAATCAAGAACACTGAGATCGCATGTTGTTCAAATATGTGCATGTATTTATTTGCAGAGGTGGGTATCTTTGTCTCCTAAACAAAACAAGGAAAAAAACGCAAACCAAAACGCCTAGCCACACATTCCTGATGTGTCGATGCATCTTCGATAGGGCTTCCAGCCCATACCCCTTTCTAGGAATCCGTCCCGTAAATGCTATGCGTATCCCAAACCGTCGCCGGTATAATGCTTCTTCTCAATATATCATCATGAAAGTGTCATAATCGTAAGTCTTAGTCTTCCTCTTCCTCCTCCTCGTCATCTTCCTGCTCTTCATTGTCCTCTTCATCGTCGCTCGCAGGAGGCTCCCATGCGTCCTCGAGCTTCAGACCCTTGCCGGAGGGCTTCTCGTAGACTGCGGCGTTTCCAAGAAGTGAAAAGACGGTAGACTGGTGAAGGTCCATGTCGGCAGGCTCGTTGGTCTCGGGGGGGTCGTACAGTCCCATGCCGTACAGAATCTCGCCATCAGATCCGTCGTCTTCCGGTGCCTCATAGGAAATAGGCTCTTCGGAGGCCATCTTGGTGTTGGTGAACTGCTCTGGCAGCTCGAAATTATTCGGGGTAGGCGGCGCTGTGTATGTGTCCAAGCCGCTCGATGACGGCGCATAGGAAGTCCATCCCATGACATTGCCTTCCGCCTTGGAGAAAGCAGCGTAAGAAAGATCGCCGGTCATGCCAGCCATGCTTTGGGGTGATTCTGGAGCCGGTTGGTAGAGCTGAGTCCCCGGCGAGGCATACTGATGCTGTGATTGCTGAAAATCGACGCCGGGGTATGGAAGTGTGAGCGGGGAGAAGGACGCCGAGCATGGCGAGTTGGAGCCGGAGTACACGCTTGGGGTTGGGGGCAGTTGCTGAAACTGTGTGCAAGCGCCAAAGTCTGGATAGGATGGGTAGGGAGCAAAGGCCATCGTGGACTCCTGAGGGTAAGGCTGGGAATATGCCACCTGTTGCGACGAGGGGTGCCAGCTAACTGGTCGTGCTGTCGTCGTTGGCTTCGTCTCCGGGTCGTACATGAACTCGACCGGGAATTCAGCCGCAGGTGTGGGGAGATACGCCGCCGCGGCAGGTTGAGTATAGAGATTCTGAAACCCATCACCGATCAAAGTCTTCCTCTTGGACTGCGAAAACGGATAGCGGGGGCTGGTGCTGGCGCTGCTGGGCTTCGTTATCCGCATCGAAGTGTTCGTCCTCTGTCCACCGTAACCCCTCGACATGTTTCGTGTATGAGCAGCGATGTATTGTTGTGACGCTTTATCAAGAGGTGTCTCCATCATGTTGGTGCTGAACATTGGGGCCTGATAGGGTAAACCCATGTTGAAGTTGTTGTTGTTGTTGTTGTTGTTATTTTTGTTAACCAGTAACGGCATCATCTTGAAGTTTTGCAAAGAGAGATAGATGGGTAAAGTGTATGAAAAGTCTTGCTTGTTGAAGGAAGCTTGGTCAACTTTCCAAGTGACGATAGACGAGGTATATGAAGTGAGAAGGAAGTGAGAGCAGTGACAGTATGGAAACCATGCAAGACACTTGGGCCCCGGCCGAGGAACCGAGATGGAGATGGAAGTTGGAAGCGGTTGGATGGATCAAACCTAGTTTGAAGAGACAATCTGACCATATTGGCGCCGAAAGGAAACAACAACAAGACAGCCGATGGGGCGCTCAGGCATGTAAGTGAATCCCGTCGTGTGCAAGACTCCGCGTCGACGGGGCTCAACGGAAGCTTACCCATGACTTTGGCTTGGGTAGCCTGCGTCATATGTGCGCGCAGGGATGGTTCAGCCTGGATAACCTTGAAGAAAAGAAAGAAAGGGTTTCGGCTTCAACTGCAGGGTATGATGGGCAAGGTAGACGCAAACTGCAAAGCCGGATGGAGATATTGACGGGCAATGGTAATCCGAAGTGCTTCTGAGAGACGGCTCCGTTGAATGGAGTGTACGGGGTTGCAAGGGGAAAAAGGGCGGCTCCTCGTCGTGGATTCTTGGGTTGCGTGTTAAAGAACGTACATATTGTGGGGCTTGTACCTTCGTACTTTGCTGCTGCGTTAGTGGGTCATGGCTGGCTAGCCCATTGAGGACGGCATTGGAGTTTGTACCATGGCGGATACACTGTGCTGCCGCAATTGGCCATTTGTCAGGCACACACAGTGTCGACGTCTTGTGGTGCACGATAGCAGTGGGCGGAGGTTCCAGATGGGTGGTGGTGGTGGTGGGCGGTCAAGCGGAGCAATGAAGCGGAAAGAAACCGCCTCCACTCTCCAGCACCCCATCTCCATGGTGGTGTCTCGAGCCATTCTTTGGTACTCTTATCCTGGCATGCTTGGCGTCAGTGAATATGCGAAATACGTACCTACTGAAGCAGAAATGGGGTTGAGCTGAGTCGGTGGCTTGGACAGGGGTCCCATGAGGCAGATACTCGGAGGATCTGACGGATACCGATGCTCAAATTACATTGGTCTGCCGTTCGCAACGGTTGAAGACGAATTCGTTATTCAGATGTCTTACTTGCCGTCCCCGTCGTACCCGCTGCTTCAACGAGCATTTTGTGATGATACACAGCGACGAACCCAAAGCCTTTGGGTGAAGTTCTCTAGCCTGTCAGCCGAGTGCAATGTGCGACAAAGTAACGAATGATTCCACTGCTGTCAGGCCGTGAGCATGTGCAAGGCACTGCGAGCTTGCATACGGTTTTAAGCCTCGATGATACCACTGTGCAGATACAGATACTTAGTATATCAGCTTGGACTCCTCGGGCAGAATGGACAATGCCGGACCGAGCAGGAGCATGTTGCCCGTAGCTACACGGGGCGAGGATCATGCTGACTTTGCAAAACTAACCGCCCCTCATGCCCTCATTTCGGTCATAGTGAGGTGGGAGCCATGGTGACATGAGCCAGGCGGGCACGGCGGGATGGCCGTCTGAAGTGGAGGAGAAAACCCGCAGCAAAAGTGAGGACGTGGTGATGTACAGGATTAATTTGGTAGTACGTAGTGTACAGTAGAATCCCCTGCAACTGCATCCTCCAGGTACTGCATATACGCTAGTTAGTGCATAGGATTTCGCTGGCTGAATTAATTCCCAGCTACAGCTGCATAACTGCATACTGCATACTGATCTCGGACAATTTTTGGTGCGTATGCACTTATAGATTTGGTCTTGAGTAGAGAAATTTATAGTACGGGGTTGGATTTTGGCATCTCGGCCACAGGCCGGCTGCCTATTTGAGCCTAGCGCCATTTTAGGAACTGCATATCCGCCATTTAGTGCATAACTTTCTTGGTGCAGGATTACATGCAAAATCAGGGGGCGATACTGTAGTGCACAGCGTAAAGGTACCCACCTGAGCCACCTGTGCGCGCGGAGTGTCCAACAGCAAGGAGGGATTGTTCTGTGGAGGGAATAATAATGGCCGCCCGCCGCCGCGTCCCTTTACTGTGTATGCGACTGACTGTGGTGGGCAGGGAGCAGGGGTCGCAACAGATTGGTCGACTGCATGACTTTCAGTTGCCGTGGAGTCTGACAGAAAAGAATGGCTTCCATTTTCAAAGCCCATGACCATGCTCGCGTGTAAAAGGGAGGTACGTACCTGCCCGGGTACCGATGCGAGCGGAGAGCAACTGAACACCGCCCTGAAAGCCAGTCTTTGCACTGATGCACCCAATGCAATGGTGCGCCTTAAAACGATAGTGGGTGTGCGTGAGGGAAAAATGGGGGTGTGGGAAGAGTAGCCAAGACGCATGCGAAGGTCTGTGAGGGATTTGAGTGGCTGTCGCATAGCCTTGAGAGGATCAGCCAGGATCAACGTACCGAAGTATTCTCAGCGTGGGTGTTTCCGTAGAGAGATGTGTGTGACCTCTCCTGTGTCTCCTCTGCCTTCAAACCCTCGCTGGCTTGCCTGGCCCTGATGTGTTGCTCCAGGTTGTGGGTCCTGCGGCGCGGCTCAAATGGTCCAACATCCTGGTTTCCACAGCCATGCCCTGCAAATACGCGCATCTTGTCCTTTCTGCAGCCTCTCCCCCGTGAGCCGGGCCTGTATCCGTAACGTATCGAAATCTGTCCCAGCATTCAACTTCCTGTTGGAATCCAGTGTTCGGCGTCGTGTGCCCACTAGAGACACCCCTTACCTGATCGTGGTGACCAGTGGTAAGCCAGCAAAACTTCTGCCGGGGTCGGTCAGAAAGGAAGAGGGTCATAATTAGCGCTGGCACGAAAAGCAGTAGCGCAGGATTTTGGGGCTTTTGCGTTTTAGATTGTCGTTCTTTGCCCTCTTTTGTCGACACAGAGAAGGGTTGCACCGAAAAAAGCGGATGGTGGTGTTGAAAGCATGTCCAGTGCCCACATGCCTCCTGACGCCGGCGAGAGGGATGTGATCGTGAGCGCGCGAGACAGGTGCGATGTGTCTGGAGATTCCTGATTTGTCTTGTTCCGTGGGCCGTGACAGTGGCCGAAACTTGCCCTACCGCCGCTGCTATAGTGAATACTGCTGGATCTTTGCTCCAGTTCGCGGAGAAGTCGTGGATACCGTGATTATCCAATATGGGGCTGTCCAGGTTACGGCATCATGATAATTCGCACATACATCCATAGTAGTGTAGAACCAACGCAAAGCCCACGGCCGAAAGCGGTTTGATGGTGGTGTACAAGAATAGGTACATAGAGGTATGTACCTTGATATTCGGGTTTTGCTCTCCGCAACCCTCAGGCTGGTTTGGCAACATCTTCTACTTTGGAGCTAGCCGGCTCTTTGCGGCGGTTTGTTAGTGCTACTTGCTTCCGCTCTTCGCTCTTGATCTGACGGTTGTGGCTTGAAAATTTGCGCATACGCATGATGCTTTCCTAGGTAGTTGGAGGGTTGACAGAAGGTCTGAGCTGCCTGATTTTTGCGGCGACTTTGCGCAGCCCTTCCTCCCATCTGCTAGCACATAACTCGCCTCCCCACGGCCTGCGAGCTCCATGTACGTAGGTAGTAGAGGCACCACAGCGAAGGTGCCATCAACCACATCAGCCCCGATCAACCCAACAAAAGGCGATACCAGTCTGGTGGGGATACGGTTCGTGTTCTTTTTAGCGAGGCCTGCACACAAGACAACTCGGGCATCGGCCGTCTCGTCTGCGGTCAGGGTCGATGTTCTTGGGTGGCCCAAACTACTACTGTGTACGAGCGCGAAAGCAGTTAGAGTGGGAGGAACTTTAGGAGGTCGAGATGGATGATCAAAAGGCTTTTGCGCTTCACGAGGAAAAGCTGGGCGAGGGCCTGTGCTATGAGCGTACCATTGGCGGGGACGCGTGGGTTGAGCGGGACCCAACCGACAACTACGGGCGGGCAGTTTCATGAAATTCAGGTCCCAGACGAAGGTGGGGCTCCCTTCCTCTTTCCTCGTAGCTAACAGTGTATCCTGCCGGAACTTGTAACGACTTACAGTCTTGGCCCCTACAGTTGCAACCCCCCTCCCCCCAGTTGCTAAAACCCCATTTATTGCAACGCCTGTTGACTGCTAGAATTAAAAACCCGGCCATACTGGGACTGCTAACTGCTATTCGCAACACTGCCGGGCCGGAATTGCATCACCAGGGGGGTTAACAGGGGGTTTTTGGCATAGGTAAGGGGCAGAGTAGGCAGTTATACCCCTATATCGGGGCTTCAAGACCCACTTTTTCTATCGGTCAACGGTCCCTCAGTGGCCTGAACACCTGCTCTGGATCCGTGCGCCAGATTCCCCTTCTGCAAACCCCCCACTTATTGCAGGAAAAATCGCTGCCGGAATTGTGTTGCAAAAACAGGGGTAAAGACTGTATGTCTGGTAATATTCCAGCCGAGACTTGACGGCCTGAAAGGTACCGTTACGTAGTCCGGTTCCATGTCGGTCGCCGATAAGAATCGGATGTATAGCCAATCTCGTTCCTTGTCAGGCAGATCTCCCCAATCAACCGGGCCCCAGCACTCACTCCCTTGTCGCTGGCTCAGGCACTGTGTTTCCCAAGGAGAAACGCAGTCGCAGTTTTGGACGCACCAAGTGATGCTGACAATGGGGTTCTGAGAAGTCGAAGATTGCCATTTCTGATATAAACCGTGTGGTGGGAACGAAAATATATGCAGGATTCAATGCTTCGTATGGAAATGAATTTTATGTTGGTGTGTTCTTTGCAGGCAATAAGTAAGTATGCGTGCTGTGGCATGTTCATGTCCTATTTTACAGCCATGATCAGTGCTTACTCCCCGCTTGGCTTCCACTTGCGTGTGGTGGTCATATCTAGCATCGTGCAGCTATCTCCGTTTTTGTGATTTCAAGGACAGGGCCAGGCAAGGGACGAAGGAGACCGCCGGGAGAACAGCCACACAAGGGAGACTGCAAACCAGACAACGGCATCCGTCTCGGGATCAACTCGGACAGGGGAAGGAATTGGAAGAGCAGGCAGGGACATCTTTTTACATGGTAGCATTGAAACAGGCCGCGGGCACACCACCCGTGCATTCCACCAAAAAGAAGGATGTTACCTGCCGAGCAGGATGCGTGGTTGGTCACAATGAGAAATTTCCAGAATGAGCTTGGCATGAAACGGGCAGGGGTATGCGGACAGCTCCAGAGAAGTACCTCTCTGTAGGTACCTTAGGTACTCTTCGAGCACGATTGGAATTGAAGCCGTTTTGATTTACCGCACCCTGAAAGCCAGTGCCCTGGGTACTTGCCTCACTCATTAAAGGCACTTCCACCCATCCGCAGAATGTCGGATGCCTCTACCATTACTGTAGGTACCATTGTTCGTCTACCTGATCCACGAAAAAGAGCAAGTTGCGAAAATTAGCTGAACGTTTACTGCGGTAGGTAAGTCACTACGTGCAGCACAGCCTGCAGCATGTTCTCAGCCAACGGCAGTTTTGGGCCACATATCCATGTCTTCTCCAAGTACCTAGAGTAGTGTAGTGTGGTGTGTGTACTATGTACTTTGTAGAAAAAGACTGCCGTTAGGTACCGCCCTCGCCTACTAGCGTACTTCTTTTGTGGGGTCACATGCAAGCTCTTTGAACTCCGAACCATCCATCATTTGCTGTCGAGTTCACGATGCCCTTGCTGCTGGAGCGTGCCTGGCTGAGGCTGGTGGGTTCCCCTACAACAGTGCACGAGCGCAGTGGTGACTGAGCGACCTCTATTTTCGATACAGTGATAGATCGATTGGGCCGCGCTTCCAGATCGCACCTTCCAAGACTGGGATTTCTCACGCCATTATTGGTCGGTCAAGCCAAGTGTCCCGGGCCCCGACATGCCTTGTCGCGCCGACGGAAGGCGCAGTGGGGCGAGGCTCTTGGATGAATGGTTTTGGGCTCAAACTTTTTTTTCTCGTTTCTCTTTTCTTTTCCGTCTCCCTGCAGTCTCGAACTATGCACTGTTACGACGACCAAAACCCACCACTGCACCATTGCATCTCACACCAGAACCTTGCGCACCCACCACGACATCCACTCGTACCGCAACTTTGTGAGGAGGTCGACCGTTGACCGCGCACCACAGCGAGAAACATTTCTTCTTCCCCCTCCGTCCTTGCTTCGTTTTTCGTCTGCGCATCGCCCCGCAAGGCTCCTCATCTGGATATGGAATCCAGTCCGATTCCAGTCCCTGTGGAGAGCAGTGTCGTTTCCATCCAGGAGCCCACTTCGGTAGTCTCATCTAGACCCGACCCTCGAGCCATGCAACCCGACGTTCCAATCGACGGGGCCGTCCCAAAAAATCGACAAATGCTCAATGGTTCTGACACCATGATAGCCACTCGACAATATCAACACGTAATCATCCACTCTCACAGCTGCCACTTTGCGGCTGCCCATGACTCCGACAAGAGGACCTCTCACGCATTGCAAACCAGAGCATGCCACAAGGCCTCGCGAGGGGCAATCATCACATTCAGCCAGATTGCAACCATACTCGTCCCAGACTGAGAAAGATAATCTTGCCTTATTTCTCCATCATTCCCTCTCAAGCCCGGTCACCCTTGAGCTTTCAATTTCGAATCTTACCAAGAACCCTGGCGTCTTGCCGAGCTGTGACAAACCCCTTCCTTCCCACCTTAGGTACGTCTGTGTCCTCTGCCTAGTCGCCTGTCATTTCAGAGGTAGTGTAGATTGACCCATCACGGATATTGCGGAGCGGTGCGAGTCGGTGCTTCAAGTGTGTGACATCTCATTTCCAGACAACAGCACAACCCTCAAGACCACCACAACAGGGAGAACTAAAACACCAGCTTTTCGGTCCAAGGCCCAGCCACCAGAGAGGCCAGAGCCACTGAATCAGAGACGCCCGGACCCAGGATTGTGCACCATCTAACTATTCTTAGCACCCCTGCTCGTCAGAAGGATTCGAAATTCGTATGTACTGTGTACAACGGATTTTGGTGTGATAGATTACACTGGCGTTCGGCATGCACTTCACTCACGATGTTGCTGCTCTTCACAGTGGCCCAATCACCATTGACATCGCTGGCGATGACAAACATGGGCGAAGTAGTGTACTGCGACTGCGTACCTAGGTCAAACGATTTGCCACGCCGCGAGATGCGGCCTGTGAAGGGTCTGTCCCACTCTGTCCTCCCTCATTAGCGGAGGCCTTTTGCGACACAGATCGTAGGCACACATTATCTTATCCTTGGGTTATGTGTAGTGCACGCATTTCGTACTTGGCATGAATTAGCCTGATAGATGCCTATTGACGTCAATACCAGTCAATCCTCTCCTCTGGTAGCTAATGGTGGAAGAGGTCCGACATGATGATTCCCCCGGAGCCTTCGTCGTTTCGGCCTAGATGGGCAGGAGCTTGGGGTTGCTTTCAAGACACGCAAAGCGGGATGGCATGTAGAACCTTGCTAACGCCCAGGACGGTAATACGTCGGAAAGAATACGTGTCCATGATGACTCGCCTCTCCCGTCAACACATCTACCCTGTTCAAGCATACGCAGTAGACTACCCATTTGCTTTCACAGTTGTGGCCCTCGTTGCCCGGGC